GCAGCACCTTCACTGACAAAAGTCAGTGAAAAAAGTGCATGCGACACCGAGAGTGCGCAAGAGAGGCCTCAGTTATATTTCCACAGTCTGCCACCGACTGCTTCATTGTGACTTTTTTGTGACACAAAAATACGCGTCTAAATTTAGAGGGGCCAAGCTTATTGACACAAGGGCATTGGCCCCCATAGATCCACCACTGCTTAGGACAGTTAATTTATTCAGTTCACCTATAGCCCATGTATTTGGACTGTGAGGGAAACCGAAGCACCTAGAGGAAAATCCACGCCAACATGGAGAGAACATGCAAACTCCATACAAAAACACCAACTGACTCAGCCATGACTCGAACCAGCGACCTTCATGCTGTGAGGCTACAGTGCTAAGCACTGTGCCACCGTGTCGCCCTGATTTCAGCTTGATTTATTTTTCAAGTTTATGGTTTCTCAAAATTTTGACTTTATCTCTCCCAAATCTGAGTTTAGATCACACTTTTTCATAGAATTGTTAATTTGTACTGAAAAAATTATGTTATACTATACTATGTTACAGTTCTGAGTAAATAAAGTTTAAAAGTACAAAAGTTTATGGTTCCAAACGGCAAGACATAAACTCACTGGAAAGAGAAAGTTAAAAGTTCAAAATCTAATTTTTGATATAAAAAGCAAGATACATTTTTAATCAATGGTGGCAACAAGTGTCAAACCTTAATTAAGTGTAAAACCTTAATTAAATGAACTCTTTTTTTTTTTTTTTTTTTTTTGTCTGGATGCATGAATGTAAAGTTGAAATCAGAATTATTAGCCCCTTTGAATTAATTTTTTCTTTTTTAAATATTTCACAAATAATGTTTAACAGAGCAATGCAATTTTCACAGTATGTCTTATAATATTTTTTTCTTCTGGAAAAAGTCTATTTGTTTTATTTAAGTTAAAATAAAAGCAATTTAAAAAAAAATACTATTTTAAGGTAAAAAAATGTTTAGCCCCTTTAAGCAATTTTTATTCAATAGTCTATCAAAACAAGTCACTGTTATACAATGGCTTGCCAAATTACCTGCCTAGTTAACCTAGTTAACCTAGTTAAGCCTTTAAATGTCACTTTAAGCTGTATAGAAGTGTCTTGAAAAATATCTAGTAAAATATTATTTACTGTCATCATGGCAAAGATAAAATAAATCAGTTATTAGAAATGAGTTATCAAAAATATTATGTTTAGAAATGTAATGAAAAATCTGCTCTCCGTTAAACAGAAATTGGGGAAAAAAATAAACCGGGGGGTTAATAATTCAGGGGACTATGTATTTATGTGTAACATCTAGCAATGCAATTGTACTTATTGAACAGATTGGCTACTGGGAAGTATATGATGGGTCTGCAATCAGAGAACTTGAGGGCTCCTTGTCTGGATCTATAAACGGCATGCATATTTCTGAAGATGGGAAATATTTTGTGACAGGTGGGTACTTTCATTATCTTTTCCTATACAGAGTTATTTTCCCCAAGTCAATCTTCTGTCATATGGTGGATGTAACAGAAACAACAGGTGGCACAATAGACAGCATAAACAGAAGTATTTATAACAACACCAAAAAAAGCATCATTCTCAAAACAGTTGGATAAATGTCTGCTCACCAGGTCTAAATTAACACTTGCAGAATTCAATCTGATCCCAGCAGTTATTTTTAAATGAGTTTCACAGTATGAGTTGATGAGGTGCTAATCTACAGTAACGTCTCTGTTTTTACTGTGTAGTCGTGCTGTTTTCTATAGTTTCATGGTAAATGTCAAACCTCACTTTCAGGTGGAGATGACAAACTACTCAAGCTCTGGCTCTATTCTGATGGTGAAGTGACCCATGTTGGCATCGGGCACAGCGGAAGCATCACAAATGTGAGAATCTGTCCCAACAGCAGATATATTGTCAGTACCAGTGCAGATGGTGCAATTCTAAGGTGGAGATACCCACAAACCGCATAGAACAGTAAAGAAGGCCATCTTATTCTATTTAGGCATACAGTAGATTTGTATTGCACATATTTCTTTTAAAAATACATTTTTTTATAGCAAGCGGCCCAACAAAACTGATATTAAAATTGCTGTGAGCTATTTATTAAAGCAAACACATGCCCTATGTCTCACTATTTCACTTATTAAGTATTACAAATTCATTTGGCACCATAATCTGTGAGAAACCATGTAATAAACTATTCATCCATATAACTAAAAAGACAAATGAGTACCTTCAGTTTCTTTTTTCTTGCAAGTAATTGTATAATAAATTAGGTTATGAATTCTTAGGAGATTTAAAGGTACAATTAAACTATCCAATTCCAGTCATTTTATTGAAATAAAGCAGCGTAGAGCCCCAGTTTCGGAGGACTTTTTGTGAACTGCACTGTCAGCTAATATATCACCTGAGAATCTCCAGAGAGCTGGCGGGGGAGGTTTGGAGAAGCACAGCACTGCGTGAACTTAGCATCTGGATGTGTATGTCCCAAATTTCCTCTCACCTCCGAGGAACAGTCTCAATAATGAATATCTTAACCCCTAACTGTAAGACAGTAAGGATGTTCAACCATTCAGTCGGAATAAATAATACAGGGGAGAGGATGCACTGCTCGCTAACACATTTTGGCAATAGAAGTGGTTTTGTAATCGCTCCCTAGAGCAAATAGAGATTTAATTAGTAACAGAAGATGCAGGTCAGTATCTTCAGCATCTTCAAGTCAATACAATATAATGCCGTGCCTCACATTCCTTCACTGCCGACAGCAGAGATTGGAGAAAAGCAATTCCATGACCTTGTTGGTGATATAAAGAAACAAAGTAACAAAGTCAGTGGATGATCACAATTCCAAGCACAGTTGTTCTCAGTAGTCGTATAAACAGTATTTATCTGCCTTGCAGGCAGGGTGTCCAATGATAAAGATCCCTAACAAAAGGATGAACCTGTATAGGGTGTCTAATAAGACTAAAACCATATAAGGGGGGAATGTTTAGATTAAATCTGTAATATTCTGTACCACATTGCTGTTTATTGTTGTCACATTTTTTCTTGCATTTATGCAGCTACAGTTACATGAATTGGATTCAAGACATGAAAATTAATCATGCACACTCCTAAAAGAAAGTACTCTGAGCTCTTAATGTTTTATGAAAAGATAGTCAACGATTTTGGCATAAGTGTGTATGAATCTCAGAATGTTTATCCTATGTCTGGGTAGTGAATTTTGACCCATTCAGATTTTGAGTGTTTATTGGTTTATTTAAAAGTATTGAAGTGATTTTATTGATTTTCATGACAATGCTTTTGGCCTAAAACACTCTAAAACTTTGTTCTTTCAAGAAAAAACTGTGAACTGTAATCAGACTGTGAAAAGTTTAGGAGTACAGTTTAATCATTTTTGCATCGGCTTTATAGGGTTAAAGAGCTATAGGGTTGAAGCCAAAATCATTAGCCAACCTGTGAAATTTCAATTCTTTTTTTCAAATATTTCCCAAAAGCCATTTAATGAAGAAAATTTAGATTTCTAAATTATTTTATTAAACATCACAGTTGTAATACCTAATTTATTTTGTCTTTCCCAGGATGACAGTCCTGTAGCCAATCCAAAAAAAAAAAAAACGTTTTTAGCCCTCCTGTGACATATTAGTTATTTTAAAATCCTTTCCAGGTCTTGTTAAAAAGAGAGAAGATTTTTTTCAACACATTATTAAACCTAATATTTGTAATAACTCATTTCATTCATTTATTCGACAATTTTTGTTTCAACTTAGTTTTTTATCAGGGTCGCCACAGTGGAATGAACTGCCGTAATAACTAATTTCTAATAACTAATTTATTTTGTCTTTATTATCACAGATATTTATTTTACTGGTATTCAGTTTAAAGTGCAATTTTTAAAAGCTTATTACATGTCTGGATAATTAGTACATCCATTACTGAATGACAGAAGTTTGTTCTCTAGACAATTATACTATATAGATAGCCCCTGTTTAATTTATTATTATTTTTTTACTTTTTAAAATATTTTTCAAATGGTGCTTAACAGAGCAAGGAAATTTTCACAGTATTTCTGATAATATTTTTTCTTCTGGAGAATGTCTAATATGTTTTATTTTGGCTAGAATAATAATATTAATAATAAAAAAAACATTTTAAGGTCAAAATTATTAGCCCCTTTAAGCTATATTTTTTCCATAGTCTTTAAAACAAACCATTGTTATACAATAACTTGCCTAATTACCCCAATCTGCCTAATTAACCTAACCAACCTAGTTAAGTCTTTAAAAGTAACTTAAAGCTGTATAGAAGTGTCTTGAAAAATATTTTGTGAAATATTATTTACTGTCATCATGGCAAATAAGATTAAATAAATCAGTTATTAGAAATTAGTTATTAAAATTTGTTTTGAAATGTGTTTTTGGAATGTTTAGCAGGTGTAATTACAAGTAGCCTACACATGATCCTAGGTGTGAATAGACTTTCGTCTGTGGATTTTCACGTTTACAATTACTTCTCCATACGTTACATGTTCAAAGTAAACCAGGCTAATAAGATTCATTGTGGGAGGGTAACGCCGTGCATCTACCATTCATACGCATACTCCAACCACAAGCCAGAGCAAGAGAGAGCGGGCGAAATACAGCCAGTAATGGGCATCCACACACGAGCACGCAGGTAGGTGTGGTGTAAAAGAACGAGAGTTGTGTCTGAAGCATGGAGTTCAGCCCAGTGTAATTCCAGGTGCGTACGAGAGCGTCATGGATAAATCGAAAGTAGCGCAGCAGAGAACAGCGATAGGGAATGTCGGGGACGCGGTAATTACGAGCCTCGGTGCAAAAACCGGTGCCTTTAGAGTGTTTTTTTCATCGTCGTGATGGTTTAGCGATGAAGGATTTTGAGACGCACAGGTGGGAGCGACGTGTCTTTACACCGCCGTGCACTTGTTTCTCTTACTGACGTCCACCGCTCGGTTTGGGCGAAACGACGGACTAAACATGGATTCGCTGAGGGAAACCAGGAAACAAACAATCAAAGCTAAATCGGCGAAGCGCAAGAACAAAACGCATAAGTCCCAGAAGCTGTTCAGAAGGAAATCGTTAAAATCGCTGGGAAATTTTATGAGCAGGATTGTCAAAACTTTGGGCACTTTGGCACACTTGGGGGACGCGGATCAGCCGGACGCAGCAGCGGAGGATGATGATGGTGGATTTGGAGACACGGCGAGTGTCCACAACTCTGGGAACTACAGAGAGAGCTCGGCGAGGAAAAGCTCTTCTTACGGGTCTGTGAAAGAAAGACTGTCCTGGTGTTACGGAGAGAAAACACCGGGAGTTCAGGGTCTGAAGAATCACGGAAACACCTGTTTTATGAACGCTGTGGTGCAGTGTCTGAGTAACACAGAACTTCTGGCTGAATATCTGGGTCTGGAGCAGTATAAATATGAATTAAATGAGCGGAGGATCAACGGGATGATGAAGAGTGAGGAGGTCAGAGGGGAAGTCACGGACAAGCTGGCATCGTTAGTAAGGGCGCTCTGGACAAACGACTACACGCCTCAGCTGTCGGTGGATTTTAAGGTGAGTTTCGAGTAACCTACGCAAAACTGCATCCGTGCAATCAGTGTGGAGACATTCTTTGAACTGTGAACTTGTTTTCCTTTCAGTATAGAGTGGAAATTTTGATTTATACTGAAGCAAATCAAATCAACAGGTGAATCATTAGATGATTCAGATTCTGAGAACCGGATCAAAGATTCATTGAAACAAGTGAGATCATTTGATTCGGATCTTAATAAAATTGAAAATAGAGTAACTAAATTGTATTGGTTCTCGAGTAAACCTGTAAAAAGAGTGGGCTATTTGTTTTACTTACAATTCACAAACACAATTTTGATAAATAGCCTACATAAAAACAAAACAAAAAACATTATATGGATGTTATGGGAAAAATATGAATTTAATTGTGAGATTTTGACGTTTATTTGCTGAACTGAACTACACATTTATTTATAAAATTGAGTTTAAAACGTTTTTGGAAGCTGTCAAGTCAGGATGCCAGTGAGTTGAAAAGTCTAAATCACTGAATCTCTTAAAATGATTCTTTGCAGAGGAGTGTTCAGATGAACCGATTCACTTAAATGACTTCCTCATAACTTATTCAAAAGTCTACAATCCTTGGATGGTGGAAGTGGGTTGGGCTTAGTGTAGGAAGAAGCAGGTGAATCACCTTTCAAGAATTCGACCAACTTGTTTTGCAGGAATTCAGAATGTTTTTAGTTGTAAGGGTTTTGTTAGACCGGAAAAACAGTGCTTTCTTTCATTATGCTTTTTTTTTTCTTTTTGTAATGAGGGAAAAGACTGATGCTGTCTCCCAAATGGCAGCAATAATTGCACAGTAGGGGTTTAAAAATAATCATATTAACAAGATATATTTGTCATCAACTAACAACAATTATAGATTGCTCTGAGCTACGTATTCAGGTTGCCTCAAAGGTGCAGTATCTACAATCTGCAATCTTGTAACTCAATACTGTCCCACACACACAAACACACACGCTACGAGAGAGAGAGAGAGAGAGAGAGAGAGAGAGAGAGATGCAGGTTGGTCTACATTCTTCATTTTTATGCTTTGGACTATGTCTGTTCTATCTACAGTAGCTTATACAATAGCTTACAGCATCAAGTGTATTAGGGTTTATATTTTAAAGTATATAAAAAGTAAATATATTTTTATAGCAATTATTGTAAAATTTTACATTATGGTGCACGTTCAATGCTTACATTTATGTTTTAGTAGTGCATAAACATTTAAGAGTAAGTGAGCAGAATCCTATTACAGTAAATGTGTGTTATTATGATACATTTTTCATTCATAGTAGTTATTAATTTATAGTGTCCATAAGAACTTATTCAGTGTATTTGTAAAACTAAATTTAAAAGTTTATGTGGGATTCTAGTATTAATAATGCTGGGCACCAAACAAAGTAAATTATTATTTGTAAAAGTACAATAATATATAGAAATCCTAGTAATCTTTGACCATTAGTTTGTTTGTTTGTTCGTTTTTTCATTCATTCATTCCCTGCGTCACACTACATAAACATTACATCATATTGATCTTGTATCCCAACGTCAGGGGGATGTTGGATTTTGTTTGGAAATGAAAATTGGGTTGATGTCAGAACCCAACGTCAGGCCGACATCAGTGTCGAATGTCCAACCTAAAATCAACAAAATATCAACGTTTAACCATGTTACACCCTGACGTTGTGTGGACGTTACCACTATGACATTTATCAAATGTTGAATTTTAGTCAATTTCCAACACACCTTAAAATCACCTAAACATCAACGTAATTTGATGTCGTTATTGGATGTCAAAATAACATTGTCCTTAGATGCTGGCTAGACATTGACTTTTGGTCACCTGACGTCATGACCTAAATCTAACCTAATATTAATGTCTTATGATCTTGTGTGCCTGCTGGATTCATTCATCTATTTATTCATTCGTTCGTTCGTTTCTTCATTCATTCAATCCCTGCAGTCACAAGAAATCAACATTACACCATATTGGCCTTGTACCCCAACATACCCCAACGTCATTGTGACATTGGATTTTCTTTGGAAATGAAATTCGGGGCGAAGCAGTGGCGCAGTAGGTAGTGCTGTTGCCTCAAAGCAAGAAGGTCGCTGTTGTCGCTGGTTCGAGCCTCGGCTCAGTTGCCGTTTTTGTGTGGAGTTTGCATGTTCTGCCTGCGTTCGTGTGGGTTTCCTCCGGGTGCTCCGGTTTCCCCCACAGTCCAAAGACATGCGGTACAGGTGAATTGGGTAGGCTAAATTGTCCGTGGTGAATGTGTGTGTGGATGTTTCCCAGAGATGGGTTGCGGCTGGAAGGGCATCCGCTGTGTAAAAACTTCCTGGATAAGTTGGCGGCTCATTCCGCGGTGGCGACCCCGGAATAATAAAGGGACTAAGCCGACAAGAAAATTAACGAATGAATGAAATTCGGGTTGATGTCAGAACCCAAATTCAGGCCGACGTCAATGGTGAATGTCCAACCTAAAATCAACCAAATAGCAACATCTAATCATGTTACACTTTCACGTTGTGTGGACATTGCCACTAGGACATCTATCAGATGTTGAATTTTAGTCAATTTCCAACACGACCTAAAATCAAGTAGACATCAATGTAATTTTATGTCGTTATTGGACGTCAAAATAATGTTGTCCTTAGATGCTGGCTGGATATTGACTTCTGGTCACCTGACGTCATGACCAAAACTCAACCTAATATTAACGTCTTATGTTCTTGTGTGCCTGCTGGATTCATTCATTCATTCATTTATTCATTCATTCTCATGAGGAAACCCGCTCATAAATCATACAGATTAGAGTATTTTAAAAATGTAAAACTGCAGAATGTTTATAGTGAGGGTTTACAGCTAAAGTAGGTTAGGGATAAGAGGATAGAATATGCAGTTTGTACAGTACATCATTATGTCTATGGGAAGTCCCTATAAAGCATGGAAACCTAATATATGTGTGGACTGTTTGTGTTTCTGCATCATCTCAGTTACTCAGCAAGGTGCAATACTGACACACAAACACACACACACACACACACACACACCACCTTGAGCACAGCTTGTGCTCAGACATCATCTTATGATGCATGTGTCTGATACCCGTCCCATTTCCATCCATTCCCTTTCCCTCACAGCATCTTCTTCAGTTTAATGTATATTACAACTGATAAAATGTATAAATTCCTCTATCATTAAGAACACCGCTTGCATAGGAACACAATGCAATATAAGATAACAGTTTTATTACTAGTATTCAATCATATTCAGTTTTGTGCTGGTATTTGTACAGGTTTTGGAACTGAACATAGTTAAAACGATGAAACTCTGTTCTAGAGGCCACAGGATATTTAGTCTCTGAGGTGAAGAGATAAATGATGAGGATGAGAAGGAAGGGCATTGCTGATGGTCAGGGGAGAGTGAATAATACAGTGTCTGGAGATCAGCAGAAATGAATGACTGTCCTCCATATGAAGAAACAAAGACGAGACTTGAAGGCTTTAATCTGCCTCTCTGTTTTTCTGCTCTCTTGATTTTCCTTCCTTCCTGCCTGCTTGTAAAGCTTTTGTTTTTGACTCAACACCCTGTAACTTGTGTACATTTTTTTGCAAATTGGTCACACAGATTTTTTTGGACTTGAAAATTTCTTGCTTTTTCTTCTGCTGATGGTTTGGGCATTGGAAGTTTGTTCTAATTTTGTTTTCACATTTGGTATCAGTTGCATTGTATAAATCCATATAAAAACGACACTTCATAAAAAGTTTTGTGAGATTGGGTTGCATGAATATTAATATATCACACACAGAAGGCAACTTACACTGCTTCGTTAACTAATATTGGGGAAATACAAATGGAAACTGGTTACTAATTTCATTCTTCAGAGGCTTTTTGATGGCATATAGATTTTACATTACAGTGGTAATTAGGTAGTATTAATTACACACAGTTGGACAGGTTTTTAATTAAAAGTCGTATTTGTATATAACCTTTCTAACATATTGCTGTGAGTGGCCAATTTTAAAGGGGAAAATGAACCCAATGACTCTGGGAGAGTAGCATGTAATTAACGTAATGTTATCAACACTTTAAGGCAACAAATTAATTGCACAAAATGTAAGATCTTTTCATCAAAATATCCAAAAACAACTAGAACAGTACTATATGTTTTGCAGACTTATGTAATGTAATGTATGTAATGAAGATGACAACTCATGATTCCACAGTCAGCCATGGCGTCACGCTCTAGCAGCAAAAATTACGCTCTGTGCTTTTCAGAAAAAAATAAAGGGTATATCCATCCATCTGTCTGTCTGTCTGTCTGTCCGTTCATTCGTCGTACATATCATACACACACACACACATCGCGAAATGCGAAAGTTTTTTTTTCTTTCCATTTGGCGTGCGTTATTAAATTCCATAACACTCTCAGCAGTCCTTACTCCTTATTTGCATCTAATACCCCAGTTTGTCACAGCGACATGAATGAAATGCTCATTCGTTAAAGTGAAACTGCCGAACTGCAGTTAAAGTCAGGCGTCCTGCTGATTTGATTCAAAAGGGCACTCTTTTGTCAGATGGCTCACCGTTCAGGTATACATCCGCACTAAAATATCAATGTGAAAGTCACCATAACTTGAGTAGAATAGACCAAGCTCCCAAACCAACTTTGAGAATAGATTAACAGCAAGATTTTTTTTAATCGCGTGATAAGAGTCTCGCGTTAATGCAGCACGTTAATAGCGATAACGGCCCACTACTTAAACAAACTAAAACTTTGACTGTGCAGCTACATTACAAATTGAAAACAAATTCCAAATCAAAAATGAACAATACAAATTAAAGAAGACTCTTTAATACAAACAAACTAAAACTGTGATTTTACATTTTGAAAAAGAATTGTCAGCATCTCTATGTTTTCTGGCACAAGTTGACATATTTGTACATTTACAATGTCCCTACTAATGAAAATAGTCTTTCACTGGGGACTAAG